TTTTTTTTCTAGATTTTTGGAGCACTAGATTTAATTCAATTAACAGTTGGTTATCTTTCAAATGCACTAATTGTTCCTAAGCTGCTGTAAGGGTCTTCAAAAAACGGCAGAATTTAATGGTACCTAAGATGTATTTGTGACAAATATTACTGAACTTTTTTGGAGTTTTATTACTCTTTTAAATCTGCTATGTTTACAATAGTTTCTTGAATGTTTAATGGACATCTCTTTACAATCACAACATTTAGGTTTCACAAGTACTGTTGTTTCTACCTGAATATTCTTATGTATTTCTAGGATTGTTATCGAGCATGTACGCATTTGGTCCCGCATTCGGGTTTCTGTTAAGTGCTGGACTAACAAGAGTTCACACTACATTGTTCTACCGTAAGGGGACTTTAGGCTTTAATCAAAAAATTTTTAAAATCATAGCTGAAAGTGTCACGTATTTTTTAATACAGATTTGGATTTTGTTAACAGAGTAGCTTTAAAAACCTAAAAAAATTGATTTTTTGAAATTATTGCTTATTTCTAACTATACTTTTTCTATTGTCAATTATAATCTAGATACTTCTCTGAAGTATGCAATATGGCGCACAATACAGTGTTTAACCGGAAAACACAGTGACATACTGTTTACTAAAACATAATATCGTGTTACCGGAAAGTGAAATCTTAGATTGTTTCCTGTCTTAAAATAAAGAACAGTTTTATGCAAAGTTATATTTTCTCTGAAACTTTATTGAGAGAAGAAACTCACATATTTTTTTTTATAATTTTTAATACTTCTGGAACTTTTGTCTCAAAAAGAAATATTTTAAGCTCCAGCAAACACAGACATCAATAATGATGAATGGGTTGGTGCTTGGTGGTTGGGCTTCCTTATTTGTGGTATTCTGTATTTCATTTGTTCCATTCCACTGTTCTTCTTTCCGAAGTCGCTCCTACATCCCGATGGTGATCCAAACTGTATAGAAATGCAACGACTTAGGTAAACATTGATTCTTTCTTATAAAGAGATTGCATGAAAATTTTTGTTGTTTTGAATAATTTTCTATTGTAAAACGCTTTTAACACCTTCTTTTTGATAGCAATT